TGGTTCCAAAGATGGCGATCGGGTAGCTTCGGCTACTTTCACGCCATCTGACACCATTTCTGTTCGTCTTCCTCCTGCTGCTTCCATATTTACTGCAGAACTTCAGGCCACCTTTCAGGCTTTGGAATATATCAAATCCTCTTCATCCTTAAAACACACTATATTTACTGATTCTTTGTCCTCTTTACAGGCAATAAACAATAAGCAGCTTGTACACCCTGTAGTAGCAGACATTTATCGTATGCTACTATCACACGAGTTTAACGGCACGGACACCGTCCTTTGCTGGCTTCCCAGTCATGTTGATATTAAAGGGAATGATCAAGCAGACTTAGCTGCCAAGTCTGCTTTAGATCTTCCCATATCAAAATTTATTTTACCTTTTACCGATTTTAAATCGTCCATTACATTATTTATATATGACCGCTGGCAACGTTCTTGGGATCTTGCAGACACAAACAAACTTCATCACATTAAGCCCCTCTTAGGAGACTTGCCAAACTCCTATAGAACCAACAGGAGGGATAAGGTTGTTTTGTGTCGCTCTCGCATTGATCATACTTTTTTAACTCATATTTTCATTTTGAAGCGAGAGCCTCAACCAGAATGTGTTCGCTGCCATGTTCCTTTGACAGTAAAACACATCTTGATTGAGTGCAAACATCTCAAGTATATTAGATCTAACTACTACCGTTGCCAGTCATTACGTCAGCTATTTGCTCAACCGGAGCTATATGATAAAGTACTAACATTTTTAAAAGAGACCAGCTTTTATTCTCAATTTTAATTGCATATATTTAATCATGTATATCGTTTTAAATATATATATATATGTAAAACATTTGTTATATTTATTTTTAATCAATATATTTTCTGTGATATTTGTTATTTACATATATAAATTCAATTATGTGATATTGTTTTAATTTGTTTCGATAGATTACCATATGTTTGGCGCAATATATTTTTGTATTTAATCGCCCTGAATATGCTATCACTATACGTAATAGGTGGATAATCAAAACATTACTTCGGCTATTCTGAAACTAACATGGCAATATGCATGTCTATAGTTACACTTCGGTCTATGGTCCTTCGAATTCCAACTGCCAGGCGACACCATCAGTAGTTTAGATGATGTCAATTTGCCGCTCTAGGTTGACTAGCATCTCCGATGAACTCACAAATGTAAACCATAAACGCATTGCACACAAATCGATGAAAAATAAATGGCCGAAATAATGGTAATAACTACTGATTCCGAGTTCGATACCGGTATTGGCCGAGAAAGTTCCCTGGGATTTTCCATCGTGGTGTTTCGTTATCAGTGAAAAACCGAAGCCCCGTGTACTCATTGGCGCCCAGGCAATCGAACCCTAACAGTTGGAATTAGATGACGAGTAGGCCGTAGCGCCATTTCCTTTCCAGCGTTCAGGGCACGAGTCGAGGCGATCCTTCGGGAATTTTCACAGTGGCGCTGACAAGGCAAGTGTGCCTGGTCGTTCGGATGGTGCGACAAAACCCGTGTACTTATTGTTGTACACGTACTAAAAGACCCTTGAAAGTTAGACTTCGAAGGAAAACTTCTGTCCATGACAATGCTTACGTAACATGGAGATGAAAATTATCATAATAATGTTAGTCTAAAGATAGCTGAAGTATTGCGTTGGTGAGACTTTAAAGTCCAATCCGAGCTATCCCAACACAGGTGCACTATTTGTCTGTGGGCAATATTAAATTGCTAGGTCACAAGGTGAATAACTGATAAATGTACCCAGACATCTATTTTTGGTTGCTGTTTACTTGCAATGTAAATTTATACAGACAGATATATACAGGTCATTTGTCGTCTGGTCAAAAGGCAAAACTGACAGAAATACATAAGATTGGTCATAATTTGTCTGGTCAAAAGGCGAAACCAGATCAATAGTTTGATCATGTGGGTGATAATATCGTTTTTACATAATGTCGCATCGGTGATTAGGTAAAGACCGTCTAGAGGACTCGCATTACTGCTGTAAAATATCTTAGGAATTTCGCCATAATCGCCTATATTATAGACTATGTTATTGTCGTTATGGTTTGTAGAAGGCGACGAAAGCCAATCATACTTTTTATACGCCCACATTTTCATGTGGACGTATTATGCCGTCGCCCCTGTCCGTCCGTCCACAATTTGTTTGTGAACACTCTACAGGTCACAAGTCTTATCCGATTTTGACGAAATTTGAAATATTGGTTTATCTCCAAAAGATCTCGGTTCCTTTCGATATTGGCATGTATTACATCGAAACTTCATGGATTATGGCCCCTGTTTGTACGAAAAATCACGTTTTTAGCTCGTGGACACCATAGAGGTCACAATTTTTATCCGATTTTGTTGAAACTTGAAATCTAAGTTGATAATCCAAAGATCTCGGTTCCTTTCGATATTCGCGCATATCGGACCGTAACTTCCTGAATTATGGCCCCTGATTGTACCAAAAATCGCGTTTTTAGCCTGTGGACCCTATAGAGGTCATAATTTTTATCCGATTTAAAAACCCTGAGGATAGCTGAGTTCGAATTTTGTGAAAATCGCCCCAAAATTGACAGACAAAATGGCTGCCATTCGTTCTCAAATAGCGTAAAAATATGGTATATCAAGGTTGTGGACCTTATAGAGGTCACAATTTTTATCCGATTTTGTTGAAACTTGAAATGTAAATTTATAACACAAAGAACTCAGTTCCTTTCGATATTTGCGCATATCGAATTGTAATTTCCTGAATTATGGCCCTTGATTGTAGGAAAAATCACTTTCTTGTTAGCTTGTTCTCTATCCATCTCTCGAAAATGTGGGCGTATCCTGCCTGGCAGCCGCTGGTTTCCTTCTAGTAACACCTTATTGTTTCTATAGACTGATTTCTATTAAACCGTATATGACGTCAACCTAAGTTTGTTTTTTCTTTAAAATAAAATTATTTTTTGGGGTGTTTATAGTCTTAACATAATTATGTATTGAACTTTATTCTCATATGCGGCGGGGGGGGGGGGGCGAATGGTTATCGCGTGCGTGTTGTATCGTAAGGTCTGTCATTGAGTCAATCGCGTGGGTTTTCTCCGGGTAATCCCACTACTATAGACCTCTAGACACAAGTGAATTATTGAAATACAATGGAACCATATGTTAGTCCCGAAATGACCTAGTTTGTGTCGAGTGGACGTTAAACCCCATCTCTCTCTTTTATTCTGACATGAAGCGGCTTTAAGACCAGATGTGCTACAGACTACTACGCGTATTAATATGGTGGAAAAAATAGGGTAATGGTTGGGGAGTAAGGGGCGTGCACGGCCACAAGATTTGAAAAATTATGGATGTGTTTGACGCCGAGGGTATTGCACTTTGAAAGATAATCAAGTCTTGTAAACTATATAATGGTTAAACCCGATCGACAAATCTATTGACAAGCCGATGTTTCATTGCCTGGCAACCGATGTTTCGTTTGGTAAATTTTGCATCTGAAGTTTGTTTTGTTTGGGGTTTTTTTATCAGTTCTGACGGATATGTAGAACGATGTGCTTGCTTCCTCTTTTTAGAACACGTAATTAAAGCGGTGACGTGAAGTTAATATCAATTCACAGGAGACACAGGAGACACATGTTGGCATTATAAATGGGGCTAAAATTTGTTAAAAGGCTTCAGAAACCTAACAATTTAAAAACAAATCTTGTTTTAAACGAACATTGAAGTATCTAGCGTATCAGCCATTCCTCACGTGGCCTTCGCCTGGACAATGCGGGTTCTTAATCATGCTCTTCTAGTTATAGTAGGATAACATTTGTTTTGTCACTAATGATTCATTATTTGAAAAAGAAACCAAAATGTTAAAGGGGTTAGCACGGTTGTTTAGCATGTTATTGGTCAATATTGTTGGTCAATATATTATGAAAACGGGGACAATGGTTTTCTAACCACAGAGAAATTTCCCGGGGATAGTGGTGCTGAACGGAGGTCATGGAAAGTTGGGTGGGGCGGGGGGGGGGGGGCGCAGGTGCAGTGGTCTGGCAATGACAAAAATTGCGTCTAATGGTTAAGATGGGACGAAGAACCGAGGTCCATACGTCTACTTGTTGTCGTACATGTAACAAACCATTGATGGAGTTTGAAGAAAAGTTGGCGGAAATACAGATGCCAGGGCGTATGACCGTCTTGATTATCCTGGTAGAACAGAAGGACGGTACACCCCATTTTATTTCAGTTGTAACATCCTCACCAAAAGGGGAGATAACTCTTCGCTTCTTACGGGTATAAATGTTTAGTACGGAAAAGCTTCAATTCTATAATTATTGTAAAGAAAATGAAAATATACATCAGATTATCTTTCTAACCCTACCTTATTGGGAAGATAAAGATAAATGATAATTACATTTTTCTTCGTACTTGATACGCAGAAAGTAGTCTAATGGATGTTATCATTCTGAATGTCACGTAACTCAAGGTTAAAACTAAAAGTGGGGGATTTTTTGTTCTTGACACGTCGAATAATAATAGAAAGTTTAGTAACCTGTGGTACACATCCTTTCCTAGCAACAGCTACCAGTCCACTAAACCAATTAAGGACATGACTAATAACGGGACTTTCGCTTCGCCGTACAAGAATGCCCCCCCCCCCTTACAATACAGATTTTCCCTACATAAATAGACAGAACTGAAATAAAATGTTTATTCTAACCAGACCATACATTCGTGGGAATCATAATGTTTACAGAATAGGAATAGCCATTATCTTTCAACAATAACGCTCACTTAGGAGGTCGTTCATCCCCATTCATGGCTTCACGTCGTCCATTTATGTAATGTCCGCTTGAAAAGATCAACAACAAAAGAAAGAATAATCGAGAAGAAGCCATAAATGTGCGCACAAGTTCAGAATGGAGTCTGTTGCAAGTGGACGAATTAAGGCGGCCAATAGTCTAACAAAACCGAACCTGAAAATGTCGAAAACAAAAATATTTACCGTTTGGTATTTTTTGAGAACTAGCTCTGTGGAACTAGGTTATCTCTAAGAGTTATGTCCCTTATTATGGACCGTTGAGACCAAACGATTCATCTGACTAATTGTTATCGTGGGGTATGCTTGATCAGTTTCAGGATAAACTAATCTATATTTTACTTACGAAACGAAACACTTTCTTTGCATATAAAATAGTTTTTTTTATGTACGTCTCTTTACAATTAGCCAACGAATAAAATACCATTTGTCGTGCTTCCCTTTCATTCTACAGATAAAGCACAATACCACATAACTCGTGAAGCGGGACATTTTTACCATGTACGGTTGCAAATTTTGAATGAGTCCCATATCGTTGAAACGCATTAAGGGCGAGCGTGACCCGACATTCCTAATTTTAGGTTTCCCTCCCACTGCTTGCCTTAAACTAGGTTACACTAGAGAGCACGTGGCTTTATTTGCCAAACCAAGGACGTCTACGTCACGCGTTTATATTTAGCAGACCCCGCCCCGTAGTAATATAAGTCGTAAATGGGATTTTGCTTTGTGACACACATTTGTATATCGATCGATATACATTGAACAAAATCAAATTTCTTCCCTCTTTGAAATATATATTATCAGTTCTAGCAAGGGGCAAAAAAAATCCTGGATTTCTCCCTAAATAGGACGAAAGCGAAAGGCGCATAGTTGGTTGACCTCGTTCAAGGAAGTTATACGCTTACTCCAAGGTCATTTCTAAGTGCGTTACAGACGTATGTACTCTGAGTTCACATTGCTTCGCATCTAAAGCCGGAGACCAGTACACTTCACTCAACTCAGTCAGTTTGGCTTTGTTCACTGACAAGTCAACATCGTCTGCGTTAAAGGATATAAAACAAGAAGTGTTATATAATAATTTCATACATCAAGTTAATATTATTGGTGAGTATTTTAGCATATTTCTGTATTTATTAATTTATATATATATATATATATAACACTGGTATTTTTTTTTTTTTTTTTTTTTTTTTTGTGCAGATTTTGTTAAAATTATTATTCTTTTGTATTGATAACCATCATTTGATAATGCATTGAATCTAAACTATTATATCAAAGTTTTGAAAGAAAGAAATATTGCGAATATGAATTAATTTGGAATTGTTCGTGTTAGAAAGTTATAAGTCTTAAAGTTAATATTAAAAGGAGCGATAAAATTATAAAGAAACGGTCCAATCTTGAACAAAGGATTCTCGCGAATTATAATCTGGTATTTAGAAATTCTCGCGTCCTGCTTTGCATTCTTTTTATAAACTAAATGTATAATGAGTTGACAAAATTTATTTTCTCCAGAAATAAAACTAAAAGTTATTTTGGGGATTCCAAATTGGTTGAATGGTATTAGTATTAATTAGTCCTTCTAGTCAACTAGAGCTAAAGGCTAAGGGTAAAAGATGAGCATGGAATGTCCTTTTCTATTTTGAAGCGGGACCTACGTAATTCTATTTCTATATTAAGAGGAGTGTAGTTCGCCCAGGATTGCAGACAAAGAGCATGTAGTTTTGGGCAAGGCCAAATATTTCGATCCAGTCTGACGTAAGCGGAGATTATAAATAGAGCGTTGATCGGTCGGAAGGCAGGCAGTCACTGAGTGCACAAGGGTTGGCATGCGCGTGTATATTTTATTTATCCTAGAGAAGATAGGACCAAACCACTCATTCATAAACAAACCGTGATAGGATACACATCGTTAGAAATTATACAAGCTTTAAGTTATACTACGGATACAAAGTCAGATATTAGGTGCGGACTTATAATATATTCATATCGGAGATCTTATATAAGGACTTGGTCTTAAAGCAGAGCGCAGAACGGTCATTGCTTTTGTGGAGTGAAGTAAGTTACCACAATAGTCTATCTATTTGATTATATATATTTGATTATAATAAATAAGAACCGCTTTGTACTTGTGATTTTTACAATTACATTTTTTGTTAATGTTTTAAATATTTTTATTTTTCAGATTTGTTCATACTTTAAACAAATTGCATAAGATGGAGGTGATGTATCAACCAGAACCTATATACGGATACCAACACGGAGGACTTCATCCTGCAGCCTTCCCCAGAATGTTCACAACACCAAGAGATACATACAGCTGTTATTCATTCAATCCAGTCCGAAGATCTACTCACCCAGCAGAGAAACGGGGTGCCTTCAGTCCTGTTCCCCAGGGAAAGACACTTCATTCTGTTTTAATGGGGGAAGTACCAGCTGCGTATACTCATTTATCTTCACAAAGATGTTCCAATCAGGATATGAACGCTAATTCACATGTTCAAAATCATCAGAGTGTTCATCCAGTTGCTCAACAAACTGTTCAGACCGAACCCATGGACCTATCATGCAAAAAATCTCCTAGTAGTGTTCTCTCAAGTTATGAGCAACACCAAAGACTTTCTTCTCCGGCACTCTCAGACCACCAAGGTGAATTCTCCATGTTAAGAAATTTATTGAGTGTTGGCAAATCCAGTCATGAATTGTTGGACTCTCGGTGTGACACTCCCGAGGAGGATAGTTTCCACAAACAATACAGTGGAAGTAGCCGAGTCACCCTAGCTAAGAAGAACATGTTACCTGTAAGTGCTAGAGTATCGGACTGGTTAGTTAAGGTCATTCAGTTTGCTAAATCTGTTCCCGAATTTTGTAATCTCTCGCATAACGACAAAATCACTCTCGTGCTGAATTCTTGGAGTAGGTTGTTGCTTTTATTTATGGCTGAACATAATTTTCAATTTGCCGTAACACCACTACCGTCCTCACCAGTCCAGTCAGTAGAGCCAGCATCCCCTGATGAACCAAGCATGAAAAGTGTTGAGTCTATCCAAACCTTCATCAGAAAATGTCAACATTTGAATATAGACAGTGAAGAATATGGTTTCTTAAGATTATTAGTACTGTTTAATTCAGGTATGTACCAATATTCTTTTTGACTTAATTTTTTGATTTTGACCTTTTGACGCGTAAAGTAGACTTTGGGAGCAAGCTGTTTGGTTTATTTTTATTCATGGCGTATTAGTGTTATTATACTCTTTGTTCAAGTTTAGCCTTGCCCTGGTTTTAACCCAAACAACAGCCTAATTGAACCACAATAAAAAACCGCTCGAAACGAGATTTACACAAAGACCATAATATCAGTCAACTATAATGTACTATTCACTGAGTGGTCAATCGGTCAGCTCGTGTTCATGACCACTGAGGCGTTAATTTGGTGAGGTCAACAACTCCGACAGCAGACTTTCCAGGCCATGTCCGGTCAAAGGTTAATTCATCTGACCTTCCCCAGTGAACGCATTCCAGGAATTGGGGCACCTACGTCTATACTCGGTCATATGACGCATCGCTAGTTTACGCGTATTAAATGCAAATGGCTTGTGGCGGCAATGGAAAAGAAGATTAGACTCTATTCTGGCTACATCGATTTTTTCCAAGTTTACCCAAAGCTGTTAGACGCGTGATTCCGATCTAATTAAGGTCATTGTTTACGGGTTTACAACGGGCTGTCGTAGGAAATCTGAAGGCCAAATTCTGAATGGCTTAACAGATAGTTGTACTCTATTACTGTATCATTAATGAAATTGGCAACTTTTGTCGTAAAGGCCAAAAGAAGAATAGATTATGTGCCATAGGCGAATTTTGATCCAACAATCACGCATGATGTTTGTGTATTTTACAAGCCAATTTATACTCTATGTTCCGCTTAGGCGTAAAACTTGAACATCATTGATTTGACATCTCTTGATATTTATTTTTTTTTATTTGATAAATTGTAGTTCTGGTTGATTTTTTTTAAATATAATACATTATCGCCATTGTAAATTTTATTTTGTTTTTACTTCCTTTCGACCTTCAATAAATGAGATAAAATCACGAACGATAAAAATTAGTTCATCTGTGTGAAGATTGCTTCCAGATTTATCTCGTTCCGAAATACATCACTTTACATAACGTTTGCATATCAGATCTATAATACATATATAGTCCTTTGTGAGGGTATGAAGGGAACGGTAGACTAGAACAATATAACTAACCGGTTATTGGCGTGTTGTATGATATAAGTGGTTTCAGTTGTGGTGGCCTACTGCACTGACTGCGGTTCATCGATCGTATGACTGTATTGTTGTGAACTAATTTTTTGTTTCACCAGTGGGTTTGACAAAGCGTATAGTTGAAGCACACATTTGTTGACCTATTTTAAAATGCACCAGATTGCTTGCTCGTCACTGGATAGATGTAGGTTATCCCATTCCCCAGTATATTTGTAGCAGCCTTTTACTCGTCTTCATATTTGCACATGAATTACATCTTAATGTAACCATATTTCTAAATGTAAATGAAAAACAAATAGTCAATGTTATTTACAACTATTGAGATGTGTTGAAATAAACTGAAGCGGAAAGTCCTTATAGATTTATATTATTATTTCGGGTATTTATATGAAGGCATAATTAATAAATTGTTTTGTTATTTTTATTTTTCAGGTTATATTGGTCTTGATAGAGCTGATATTGTCGATCATCTGAACTCTACGGTTCAACAGCTTCTGCAAGAGCATGTCAGAGTAACCCGACCTTCGGACGTCATGCACTACTCCCATCTGCTGCTCTGTCTGCCATCTTTGTACGGTACAAACAGTAAAATGCTGGAAACACTGTTTTGTCAACACATTACACGAAATACGGACATGGAAGTTCTTCTCAAAGAAATGTTACAGAACATTTGAACACGAAATCTTTTGTTAGGTTTGGTATGCTGCTACTAAGATAGTATTAACAGCTTTAGGCTCTCTGTGGGAATTCAACCGTGGAGGGCGAAGGTGTTGGAAGGTCTTTAAGGTTATAGAAGCTTCCAGGTGGTGTTAACTGGCTGAAATCGACATAATTCGATTTATCTGAAACGAAAGACAAACAATATATGGAACTGAGTGTAGTATTTTTAAGTTTCTATACTTGAAATTAAATTTTGAAAAAGAGAGAAACCGAAAAGAAACATAATAATGAACATTCCCGATTATTAAAGAGATTGTGTTCGTTTTATATTTATTTGCAAACTATTTTTCCATCCATCAAATTTCACTCATAATATTAATTCTGTATGATATTGTAATCAAATGACAATACAGCATTTTAGGACCATGTGCAATTTGGGGTTATTTATTTGTAAACCATGGTTTCCATGACCATGTTATTTATTTTGTAATATTGTTAAATCAGAACTTAGTTTTGTTGTAGTTTAGTTATACTTACCATAATATATACGTGTAATAATATTTATGATAAGTTAGTGAAGTCAGTGACTACTGATCATAAGAGACTATATGTACATATAAATCAATACAAATGCCATAGGCCTGCCGATATGTGTGATATCATTTTTAAAACTTAAGCCTATTACTAATCATTGATTACTCATATCCGTGTTAAAAAAGCTCTTTTTTTAAAAAAAAAATAATCAATTGAATATCCTCCTTGAGATAATTTTACGCCATTTCTTTTTAAAATACAAAACTATTTTAATCAAAAAGGCTTCTGATATATTATGTGTATCATATCCTGACAATATCATTTATTTGGAAAACAAAAAGAAATAAAGCGAAAAAGACAGGTATAAATATAGTTTTGGTGGGGTTTTTTAAAAAAAAAATAAATAAAAAGTAAAAAATAAACTAAAATTATTCGGATCTAAGACCAAATTCCTGGTGAGTTCTTCAATCAGAAGTAGGAAGTAAATGTTTTTTTTGTAATAAGAATTAAATTTATATAGATGTACATGTTTAAATAAATAAGCGCACACGGAACCATAATATTTATGCACAGTACAATTGATATCATTTCTCATGTTATGAATTTGTGTGCGATAAAGAGATCATAATGAAACGGAAATGTTTATGTCTTGTCATGGTGTATATGCTACATCATTCATCCCCTATTCAATTTTCAAAAAGTGCGAGTGCTAATTTGTTTGCCTAATTCTGTCCATACTTTGTCTGTCGTTGTAGAAAATGAATGTATTTATATTTATTAGATTCTTGATGGGTGTAGTTCATTATTTATTGAAAATAAATTATTTTTTAAGGTATGAAACAATATATTTGTTAGTTTTTCTGCGGCCACATTGAAATGTGGTTCCCCATCGTCCAAAATGGCTTCTGGCTGATTTTGAAGTTATAGACAGTGTTTATGCCCATGAGAAGAAAAATCCTGTTGATTTTAAAGACAAATTTGTGGACACTCTAGGGGCTAAAGTTGTTGTTAAATTCACTTGAAAATTATTCTCAGTAGTCAGATGAATGAATTACGATTACTCGAACAGCTAAAGTTATCGTTTGATAAATGGCACATGTTTTGTACAATAAATTTTAGCCAATCGAACTTTAATTTTTTCTGATAATTACTTCAGGGGTTTATATATGTCCGCACTTTCTTGTGAACACTCTACAGGCTACATTTATCATTCGATTGATTTGAAATTGATATTTGTTTACATTAGTGAGATGAAGAATCCTATTTAATTTGATTAATTTCCGTTAATTTCTTCTGGAGTTATGGCCCCTGTTTCACTTTATTGCACCTTGCGAACGCTCTAACGACAAATATTAACATATCTAGTTATCGTCCGATCTGTATTTATATTCATTATTTGAGTTAGTGAAACAAAGAAGTCTATTGAATTTCAGCAATTTCCGTTGATTTCGTCTAACGTTATGACCCTTGTGTCACTTTGTTCAACCTTGTGAATGTTCTAAGGAAGTAAATTATCATCCGATTTGTATTAAATTTATATGCATCATTTTAGCAATTTCCGCCAATTGCTTCTAGAGTTATGGCCCTTGTTTTGTTGAACATTGTGAGTGCTGGAACGACAAAAATCATCATCTGATCTGTATGAAATTTACATGCATTATTTAGATTTGTAAATCTGTCTAATTTCATCAATTTCTGTATATTACTTCCAGAGTTATGGCCCTTGTTTCAGTCTGTAGCACCTTGTGAACCCTCAAAACACAAAAATCATAATCCCATCTGTGTGAAAATGTGTTATAAATTCCCCCAGTTACGTACAAAAGATTAACTATGCGACAAGCCTTGTTGACCGCTTGGACCGCTTGCTGTGTGTGTATGTTATGTTGCCTGGCAACCTATCTTTAATCTTGGTTAGATTTCTGTGTCTTGTAAATGATCCCACTATAAAGATAAGCATACATATGGGGACTGCACGGGCTGTTGTGCGCGTTTGTGTCATGTGTGAGCAATATAAAATGAGAAAATCTAATATTTATATTTGAAGATGAAAGTGGGCGTAGCTTAGACAGATGCTTAGGGGCTCAAAAATACAACGAATGTAAGCGGAATTTCCCGAAAACATTAAATTCGTAATCACACAGCGCCTTCGTCATCAAAGGGTGTGATCAATGATAAACCATTATTTAACTTGCCTACATAGTAACCTTGTTCCTGCGGTTCAATGATAACTTGTCGCTGAACTGGTTATAAACCATGACCTGGAAATTGCTAGTAAATTAATACAGTAAAACAAAACCAGATGTTGACCCGTTTATGATCCACTGCCCCCTGGGTAAAACACGCTCTTTTTGGACAAGGTTCAACTAGGTGTCAAACGTCAAACGTCGAGACTTTCGAGGATTGAAAATAAAACTCGGTTTGGCGTCCTACTTTTTAAAATCGACTGGGTTAAAGAAGACGGCCATATGACATACATTGTGCCATGAGAGAAGTTTGCCTGAACAGCCTTAAACACTGAGCCATCGCAGCTTTTATATTAGACTGGTCTCCTAGGCCTTCTGAATATTCATAAAGAGTTATTTATAAAATATTATAATGAAAAAGGACAATGTTCTCAAAGACTCAAATAGGGTGATATCCCTAACCCCATCGCGATGGGGCGATGCAGATAAAAGGGACAGCAGATGCACGATGCTACACCAGGTCGAATAAAATTTCAAATTTTAAAAATGAAGTGGGGTCTAACCTCATACTGTTTTGCTCCTACTGGGCTTATGAAGACGGATATACGCCATACATTGTGTGCTTTGAGGTTGAGGTATCGTTCTCAAGTTTTCAAAAAATGTTTTTTTAATATTTTATTGTTTGTTGTGGTGTAGGATGGGTGGGGGATAGCACCAAAGGTTAGGGAATCACTGAGTACAGAGCTTACAATATCAGCTTAAATGACATTAAAATTAGAAAGGAAATATAACATATTAATAATAAAACCTATATATAGCTCACGGGCACGTGTTTTATCATCATAATATTATCATCACCTTAGAACGTCCTGTATATCACCAGACTGACAGGGAAATAACCTTCATTTCAAGGACAGGTGAAATCCTACTTGTTCAATGAACCTAAACTCGCCTTTAGTGTTAGGCTAATGTTCATAAAGTCTTAAACGAAGGTCGTCATTTACGACATATGCACGAGTGGACGTTTAACCCCATCTATCTCTCTCTCTCTCTTTCTCTCTCTCTCTTTCTCTCACACGACATCTGCACCAGGCTTTGGAATAAATTGCAGATCTAATCAGCTAAAAGAAAACTAAAAAATAGATACGCCTAAAATAGGTTTATATGTGACCCCTCACTCAAATACAAAAGAGAAAGTGATGTCTGCGGTGTTCTAGATTTTAAACATATCTTGCCTCGTCACGGTTAAATGACTTTTTTTTATACGTGATACCACTTCTCATTTGGCGTGTGACAGATTTTTATGTTAGATTTTTAAAAAGTTCATTTATAACAACAGAATGGAATCTAGCAATTACAAATGGACTGGTAGAAAGTGTACAATGTAAGACCATCGTTCACTTTTTTATGACTTATTAATGTGATGTTTTTATCGTCATTAGTGCCTCGTCATTAATTTTGGGGGTGGGGTATCTAAACAGAGCCCGGATCTGGTTGAATCAATTTGACTAAAGCATAATCAACCTCTTCTACGACACCAGGAACTATTCATAGCGAATCAAATAATGCTTTATCATCTCTATAGATAGATAGCTAAAGACGTGTGCACGTATTTAATTTTGAGTTTTGGTTATCTAAAAATAATCTGTATCGGAGATATTTAATTTTACACGAGTTTACTATTAATAGCCAATTAAATAATGCTTTATCATTGCAGTCTTTAATAGTAAGACGTTAAACTGTCTTATTTCGGGACTAAAGTGTGGTACAATTTCCTTTCAGTATTTCACTAGGGGTCTTTAGAAGTGGGAGGAAACCGGAGGACCCGGAAAACCCCACGAGGTTAGGCAGGTGACCTTAGTCCTTGTCACGAAAGCACGCCACTTGACAGATCTTATTATCTAAAGCGCACGCGTTATACCATTCGGCCACACAATCCCAAATATGCCCATAAGGTCATCGGTGAATCTTTTAACTACTATATGGGTAATTGAAATGTGTTTTCTTCAACCTGCCAAAAAGTATATCATTTTATTTTATACAAGTCATCGAAAGGTCAACGGGTAAGGATTATAAAACATCATATTTTATCGTTCACACATAAATCTACATTTTTAAGAGAAGATAAATTTATATTGTCAGTTTTAGTTTTAATATTATTCAACCATTTAAACACTAATACTTAAACATATATTATTCTAGAGCTAAATCTGTCTATTGCAGGTCTTTCTTTAGGCTTGAAATGTTTTCTAAATTATTAATTAGATATTAATTAACTGATCCAGGCCATAATCAACTCTCGATGGCATCAGAATTCTCCGATATTAAATAGATTAGAAAGGTTCAGCCATATTTTGATATCCTTTAAACATGGAGGAGTGAGACTTAGCTTCGAACAACCAGTACGGTGGTTGCAATTATTGCACACGTCGTGTCAAACCGTTAAAGGTTAATATCTTCGCTCGCAATAGAGTAATTTGAATGATATTTTCAAATTATTCATTTTACATTATCTATTTTCGAACTATTATAACAAGAATGGCTAGCTCCTTATCTAAATCTTACATAATGTATCTTTAAAGAAGAATCGTTTTAGTATTGACTATTGTTTTCTACTCGATCAGTAAGTGTAGTATTGCGGTACTACACGCAAACAATACCCATTAGACAAACCAGCGGACAATGGGACACACAGACATTGCAAACAATAAACATGCAGCAACCTTAGAAATGTTAATCCTCTGTGAATATAATATACATAATGATTATAAAAAAGAAAATATGTTGAGACATACATATACAAAAAATTAAAATAGTTTGTCTTCATGATTTGAATCAAAAAGTGATAAGTAACGGTTTTTGTTAGGGAGAATGGTAATAAAGTGAATTTAAAGTTTATACAGCTGATTAAGGAGTAGGTAATGCGTTAAAGGAGCTAAACCTAAAACCCAATATTATCCATAATATTCGAAATAAAAAATCACGAATTTAAATTCAATATTGACCCATTTAAATCAATATTGCCGTGAAACTATGCGATCTTAATATCACTTGTGAGCATTTTGAAATTACTACACGAATCGTGTACTCTATATTGCTTTGACGCCATTTGTAATGATCAAAGCTAAACATACCCTACAAGACAATGCAGGAGTAATTAGTTATGGCTGATAAAAAGCCGTGCAGAATGGCCTAAGAAGAGGTAAACGACCTCCGTTAAAAAATAAAAAAAATAAAAAAAAGAAGCAAATCACTTTATATAATCACCGAATATAAACAATTAAAAATTACAATTAAAATGTGCTTTTAGACCCATTTTTGTCTACCTAACAGTGTTAAAATTAGTTTGTTCACAAAATTTAATCGATGTCTATAAACTTTTCAAAATTGTCAGACCTCTTTGATTTACATAAATTTTAACGGATTGGGTTTTTTAAAATTCAGATTTGGGGATCTGAGATGACAAACTTTGTCTTCAGCATCCGACGCCTTCCTTTCCAGAGTTATAACTTCTTTTCCAATACATTGTGAACGTGACAGATTTGGTGAGAGGCAAATATACATTTAAATAAGAGTGGAACCTACACCTAATTATTGCAAGGTTAAAGTCCTCTCTAACCTTATCATTCAGCCATCAAAGTTGACATTGGAGAGGTCATT